ACTTTTTTTACTGGAAACGAGGCATTCCATCTTAATCCTCACGAGTGACAACGCATCTACATTTTGATTCTTAATCGATGTAAATGTAGATGGGTAGTATGGGCCACAGCGTCCCCTTTCATATTCTGTAAAAAAATGTACATTAGATGAAGTGACGAACTAATAAAACACGCAGGTGATTAGGGTTGTGTTTTATGGCATATTTTAATCGAGGCCTATACTCAGCTGTGAACTTATGAATAAAGATGATCATGATACTGATGGTAGCTCTACCATAATAAATAGATACACAATACACCCTGAACCAAAATACATAATAAATTAATAATGTCTGTTTGTGGCATTTATATTTTTATTTTTTTATTTTTGTGCCTGTTTTAATATTTTATTAAAGTTCTAAATCTACCAAACAAATAAAAATGTGTCTCTACGACTCTACATAGAGTACGTTTTAAAAACCTTAAAACTGTAGGTACAAAGAATAAACAAAAAAAGTTAAATATTATTTATTTTTTAATAATTATTGTAATGTTTATGAAAAACGTGATGCTTTAGTTATTAGAATGGTGTTCTTTCTGTCCCTACTCTGTCAATCGAGTTGACACTTCACGTGAGCTAACCGAAACGGCACTAATGTGTGTATTTCGGAATTTCATGGTTATTCAGTTATTTTTATATATTATAATAATAATGTCCTCCAGACCGAATTTCGGTCACGGCGGCCAGCCTCAGCGAACACTAGCCATCGGCGCAGGACAGGATTATAGTGCCCTAGTATATGCTCAAGAACAGGTACATCATCTATTTTCTCACTCTCATAATCTGATTTGACGGCAAACAAACACGACCGGAGAGAGACCGAGAGGCTCTCCGAGGCACGGTGTTGTGACACCACCAAAGTCCTGACCCCGGGCAGTTACTGAAAATTTCTTGACGGAAAAACTCCATGAACTGATTTTTTTTTGCCCGACCTGGGATTCGATCCCCGGACCCCATGATCAGCAGTCGCAGTACTAAAACCACTAGACCAACGAGGCAGTTAGTCGAGAGTTTTAATATTATAGGTATTATGTACCTTTATAAATATATTTATTGTCTTCAACAATTAGCATATGGGGTGGTAGATATTCCTGCACCGCCAATACACGGTTTTCGTGGTGTCGCTACCGCGGGTGTCGTAAGGTGACGGAGGGAAACAAATCAGGAGATGAACAGCAGCGTCTTCATAATAACGACTAAAAATAGAAAACTGCGGCTGCCAACCCCCTTGCCAAGCGTGGCAACTATGGCAAAATAGCCCCTATGAGGCAATCTAGAGGAAGACCAACAACTAGCAAGTAAAATAAAAATTACATATTATTGAGTCTGTATAATTTACAAACTATATAGTAATGCATGCGACTCATTCTTTGAAATGTTTAAACCCGTGGTGGAGCTATGCTGTAGTTATATTAGTAGTATAGTTTAGCACAAATGGGTCACGGGGAAGCCACGTTCTCACAGAATACCAGCGTTAAATAGTAGCTTAACGCTGCTGTGTTTCATATGGTGGGTTTAGAGCACCGGAGACCCTCTTTACTGCAAACGAGGCATTCTATCTTAGTCCTCACAGGTGACAACGCATCTGCATTTTGATTCGTAAGCGAAGATAGTCGTTATGTAGGTGTCTATGGGCCATAGCAACCACTTACCATCAGGTGGACTGCGTGCTCGTTTGTCACCCTCTCCTATAAAAATATCCAGCACTAGACTTAAAAGACTTGATTTAATATACGGAACCTGTAGGTATATTACCTATAATTACAAAGTCCTACACCCAGCTGTGATTTCCTACAGGCTGCTAATGTAAAAGAAGTCAGTATATAATGCTTTGCTCTAACTCTCTAAAACCGTTTTATATATGAAAACATTCATAGAATATTTTTAAGAAAAGTAATTGAACGAAGTACCTGGCAATATTGTTGATTAACTTTGGCTCATTATGCTTTTACTTTAGTTTATATGTTTTTAAACGCCTCCGTAGTTGGAATTCAAAAGAGGTAAGTCTTGGAAAGCATGGTAACTAACGGGAGAGTTTCCAGTAGAACTTTCTTTAACTTGAACGTTATCGTTACATTATTACGTTATCGGTGCGAAAGCTAATCCGTCATCATTTGCAATTCTTGACAGCACGCATCTGCTGCAACGTTGTGCCAGATATCACGCGCAATTATAAATAATGCAGGAAAGATCCCTTGTAGAGTCTTATGTAAGTCGCTGTTGTTCGTACCTACATAAGCCATATTTTGTTTTGTTTGGCTTTGGAAATTGAAACATAGTTTAGTTGCCTCTCCTCATTGTAAGTAATAATCTCAGTTGTAAAACCGATTCGAAATCTTCTCACTTTTGTGCCGATTCAATAAATTAAAAGAAGCTTTCGTGAGATTGCCGTTGCGCCCCAGTAAATTCGAAAGATACACTTTTCGAGCTTCCTTTTTCCCTCAATTTGATGTAAATGACTTGGTAGTGCTGCTAACACTGACGTCATTTGAGGTGAATTCGATCATCATTATGGTCGACTTTAGTCTACGGTCATCTCAGCTTGTTGCATAGGTCTAAAATTCCACAAGCAAAGCAATTAAATCAAAAATACATCGTGCGTTTGTTAGCAGTAATAAATGACGTTGATGTTCCATGCTGTTTATGCAGCATTGGTGCCATGACAATACCAACGTGAAATGTTGTGTGGTGGTGTAAAACCGGAGACGTTTTTTTACTATAAATGAGACGTTCCATCTAAATTCTGCGTTGACAGATATAGATTTCTATAGGCTACAACATTCACTTACCATCAGGTGGACTGTGTGCTCGTTTGTCACACTTAATCTATAAAATATCTCTAAGTTGACTTTTACAACAAAGTCGGTTCCACAGATTGCTTTGGAATTCGTAATAATTTGTAAAATGCTATCCATACAACGTATTCCTTTCATGATTGTTTGTTGAAAGTATCTAGGTGAACTGGGAAATAACTTTGTGTGCCTACTTCCCGGTAATAAAAGTTCTGGTTATATTAATGGCAAATACAGTAAGCGAACCCCACTAAAATCGTCTTACTTCTAGCCACAGATCGAAAAATGATATAATCATCTTACTGCTAGCAACCGAACTAGGACCTGGACCTTAATTTGAGAAATATTATTGTGATGATAGATATCTCTTTCAAAAAAATTGATTTCAAAACCAGGTTAAAATTTTTGGTAAGTATAAATATAAAGGTTCTTCGTATTTGATTTGCAATCGGTAAATCTAAGTAGGATCTACTATACTACTACTATCCAGGTAGGATTTACCGATTCCAAATCAAGTACTAAAAATCCTTTATATTTATATACCAAGAATCTTAACCTGGTTTTGAAATCTATATTTTTTGGAGGGGAATAATAAAAATGAATTAGTGAATTCTTAGGTAATCTGCAACCTAGGCAACTTATTAACAATTTACTTACCAACGCATTTGACGAAGTCAGCCATGATGGCTTTTATTATTATGTAATCCTTTAATGGTTTTAATTGAAGTAACTTAGTTTGGCGCTGTTTATATAACATGTAACAAAAACTCCGTGGTTCCCGTTAAGTGTGTTATCATAATCAGTATCCAAGCATATAGAAATTATTATTTTTGCAAAAAAACACCTTTAAAAAAATTTAAATGAAAAAAAAAATATTTGCAAATTGTATGTGGAGTATCGGTAATGCGGGGTCTTTGACAATCCTCTTACTCCTCGGTCAATGCAGAGATAATAAAACCACATACAATTTACAAATTATTTTTTTTCAATAATTTTTTTTTTAAATTTGGAAAAAAATATTTCTATATGCTCGGATACTGATTCTGATAACGCAGTTAACGGGAACCACAGGGTTTTTGTTACATGTTGTGTATGCATAATCATTGTTTAAAATATTACACTAAGTTGTAACGTATGATCATTATGTTAATATTTATGGATTAACCCGAAGTACTTACTTGGGTCCCCTTTTTTGTACATTTTGATCAGTTTTGGAAATAATACCATAAATTTCTTATTGGAGAATTGTAAGTATTAACTAAATCAATTTATCGTAGATTTTCAGTGAAAAATGAATTTAAAAAAAAAACTTATATCATTATCTATGCATAGTATAAATAAATGCAATGATCGTCTACAAACTAAGTAAAGTCTTCAATCTATTAACCAAATAGGAAAATACCACTGACACACCCATAAACACGAAATAGATCTGAAAGTGAATGAACTTTCGGCCTTTTATTGCTTCCACCTCTAATGGAATCGGAGGGCAGTACGGTAGATATTTACCATCAAAGTTTAACGGTACCAACAATAAGTGATTAAAGGTCAACAGACTTTCCGCGTGTCGATTGTTCTTATCGTGGTCACGAGCCACCTCCCGTGCCGGCTATCGTTGCTATTACGGCTGCAAACTTATATAAATTAGTGACAATGCCATGGGTTATTTCTTAGAAGAACCAAGGTTGGGATTTCTGGGAAGTGCGGGCGCGTCGGCGAACGCCTAGCGCTGCGCCGACGACGAACACGTTGCGCCAGCGAGCGAGCAGGCCCTGCTCGCCTCCCGTCGCGCACGTCACCCCGCGTGTTTACTTCATGTTCATGTCGGCGTGCATTCGCCTCCTCGCCGCCAGTCGACTTTCGTACATGAAAGGGGAATCACTGCTGCGGCGGCTCGCCTCGCCGAACTTTCACCTCCCGCAGCGATATTGTTATCTGTGATAAATACACCAACGTTGAGTGAAATTGAATGTGCGCGTTCTTAGAAAACGTTTCTGCTACGGCACGCGGACGGACGGCCGCCAATAACGTCGATTTCTGCAAAATAATTTCTCCAGTGCGCGCGGCTTCCTCGAAACTGCTTATAGAGTTTACCGAGAAGCGAAACGGCAATAAAGTGGATTTGAGGAAATATTAATAAATATCAGTGGAACTGTGCGTTTCCGTGTTTTGTTGTTACCTAAGGCTTTTACATTGGATCCCAATCACCCCATCGCTCCTCCAATGGTGGTCAAACTACCAGGTGAGTTGATTTCGTTTATAATTTATGACACTAACAAGAGACAATTTCTGAATGTTCCATGGCAACACTAACAAAAACGATTTAAAGTTTAAAACTAGATTATCAATGCAGAGCATACTTATACTACAGCGGTACTTATAGATAGTATTGTCTATACTACTTGAGATTGAGGCGCCCACCGATATCTCAGGTCCCGGGGTTATTTATAAATTTATATAAGTACATAGGTAAAATAAATTTATTTGCTACCAGAATCGTTTCACTTTTATTATCATTATAACAATGAAGATTAAAAATATCCCCATAATTTTCACAATGCAATGCCTGAAACTAATTTTTTTTTAAATATTGTACGAGTTTAAAAAAAAGTCAGGAATAAATCTGTTGAAGACATAACGAATGAAATTTCCGCAATTATTTTTGTGTAAGGTTAGTTTGAAAGAGTTTTATAAAATGAATTACGCACTACCTATTTTTCTGTAGAAAGTGTCTAATAAAATTCTTATGATTTTAGCAGTAACCTACTGTTATTGAAATCTAGATTATATTTATAAGCATAGTAGCGTGTAATTATACCGGGCCTTGCTCCGTTCGTTCGAAAACAATTAGCCTGCTGGCACGCGATGACACCGGCGATCCTTAGAACATTTACACTCTGCTGTTTATCGTTACAAATGTGATATCATTTTACTATAAAGTTCAATAATCTCTAATTGAATAGTCTATATCACAATCTTATCTACACAATGTAAAATATACGATTTAAAAAAGTTATACTTACGTTTCAATATACAGAAATGCATTTCATAACTGAATAAACATTCAGTAGATATCCTGGAAAACTTTCATCTGACCTGACCTGACTAGTTTTTAAAATAGTTTAGCGTTACCTAATAATGTGAACAATTTGAACTTTATGACCATAAGCGGTTTCTAAATTATTATTTTAAAAAATTAAACTGAACCTTAACTGAAACTAAGTTAGATATTTAACTGAAACTTAAATATTAGTTATATTTAAGTTTCAGTTAAATACTCAAAAAATAATTAGATTATGAACATAGCTCTTATTCGAGAAGACTAGATCCAGTAGATTGAATCTGGCTGACGATGAATGATGAGACTTCAATTAACAAACCATTTGCTATAAATCACGAATGATTTAAAAAAGAAGCTTACATAGCAAGTAGCGATCACTATTTTTAATAGCAAGCAAGCATCACGTCAACAAATTCTTTAAAAAATGTCGATAGGTAATTTTTTTATCATCTTTTTCTTAACATTCTAATTCCCATCAAACTATTATTGTATGTTTCGTATTCTCTGTATTTATGCACTCTGTTTACATATATCTAAATATCGTTTACAATTATATTTTGAATGTAACGAAATTACGTCACAAACGAGAAACTAGAATAAACCCACACACTATGAGAGCAATAGAGTATGTGACAGCTGTTGCTAAATGTAAATAAAAATATAAAAATATCTTGTACTCTTATATAACATACTTAGTATAGATACATCATTTTATCCTTTGCGACGACGATTATTATACAATATTTAATGAAATTATGGACAGTGAGGCGGTGCCTTAACAATATGCCAGACAATCGCACATTGTTCACAATTTACCGGGAACATCGAAGGTAAATCGCCTACCGGGAATCGCTATTGCCTTTGTTTATCCACGAAGGGAAACAATAGCGTTTTTGCTGCTTTATTTTAAGTTTCAACCTCACTGTCCCTCAATGTACCTCAATGTCTATTGTTAATGTTTATTGTTCTATTTCGTTTTAGATTTTCGCGGAATTTGGTTAACACGCTTAGGTATATGTTAGTACGTCGATAACCTAAAACAATACTAGGTCAACGACGATCGTTTGCATGCACGTCATAATTACGTAGAGGTTCAAAACATTATAGCTACTGTCCTGTCTGTTTATTTATTATATTATATTGTTATAATTTTCTATAAAAATTGCACTTATTTTATTAACGTTTTTGTACGAAGAGTAACCATAGACTTAGAACCAATATACTCTATCTTAAGTCTAGGAGATTAACCGCTTACGTTTGTAACAATTTTATATTACCACCATTGTTTAACAGAAAAAAATATACACTTTTATAGTAACGTAAATGGGTTGCAAATAGACGAAGATTAAGATGGAATGGATGGAATATTTCGACGTAGTCGTTGCCTTACTCGCTACAAAGACCCGACACCGACAACGATTAGTTTGATTAGCAAACGTTATGACGTAGCGCAGTTTCAATTTAACTGTTACTAGACTTTATCTCGTACTTAGAGTATAGCACGCATAAAGTGAAAACTGCATGAGAAAATGTAATAGTTTACATAAGTTGATTGTATTAATTATTAGTTTTTATCACTTGATATCCGGCATTTTTTTCCTACCAACAAATTGTAAGTACATAGTAACATCAAAGCATAATTTAACCTAGCCGAAGCTGCAATTTCAAAATACATTATCTCAGTTATCAGACATTATCTTAGTTATTCCTAATTGAAATAAAATGTCCGCGACCTGTTTTTTTATAGTATAGGGTGACAAACAAGCACAAAGTCTACCTGATGGTAGGTGGATGGTGTGGCACGTTGACCTCTACATTTATCCTCGTCTAAGAATAAAATACAGATGTGTTGTCACCCGTGAGGACATAGATCGAGTGACTCGTTTCCAGTAAAAAGGGTCTCCAGTTCTCTAAACTTATACGAAACACAGCAGCATTAAGCTACTATTTGACGCTGGTATTCTGTGAGAGCGTGGTCCCTCCCCGGTCGAGCCGACCCGTTCGTGCTACAACTATACTACTAATATAACTGCACCATGGATCTCCTACGTGATTCTATAGCGTGACACTACCACGTTGAAAACCTGACCTGACCAGACTGGTTACAATCACCATTATGATAACATTAATCGATATATTACAGAATATAATTATATACATTTCGAACTATGTACGTAGAAATTACATGAATCCACTCTCTCTCCCTCTGTCCCACCGTTGATCGACCAGATGGTCCCTAAGGCTTGTTCATAATCCATACAGAAACAGAGTGGAATAATTTGCCAGCATCCGTTTTTTCATACAATTACAATGTGGGTGGGTTTCTGAAAGGCAAGAGGAAATAATAGGGTTTTGTTAAGCTAAATCAATGCGCTAAAATCGTAAAAATTTAAAAAAGACCAGCAACACAATGCTATAAAAATTTATGCTATTGATACAGCAAGTAAAATATAAACGGTACTTATGACAAAATATAAACATATAAAACTTTTGTATGTCTGTTGTTCCGGCTAATAACGAAATGGCTGGACTGATTTTGAAGGGATTTTTACTGGCAGATAACTAATGTAATAAGGAGTAACTTAGGCTACTTTTATTTTAGAAAAAGAATTAGAGTTCTGCGCAAAAAAATATCATGAAATCCAATCGTAATTAATTCCACGCGGGCGAAGTCGCGGGTAACAGCTAGTAATATAACAAAGTACCAGAAGTTTAAAAATATTGAACTGTAGACGTAGTATAGTACCACAGGAAGTCACTGCCTTTTGTAAACTGATTACTATCGGTGTGTTGCTTCTAACCATTTGATGTCGCATTTCGAATATAAATTAACTACTTTTGCTTCAAATATATTTTAAAGTAATAACATACCCTTGCACTTTTATTTTTGCTTTATATTACGAACAGAAAATTGTCATTTGTTCTGTTCTGTGTAAAATGAAAACTCTATAACGATAGAAATTAGGTAATTAATCTGTAACGTGTAGTACAAATTCTTATTAAAATATTTGAGGTTCTTTCAATAACAGTTATGTGTTTTGTAAACACCTCACGATGTTTTTTAACATCGCAACGCAAGTGGTCAATCAGCACGAAATTTCAGTAGTGCCGGCTGGGATGAAAATGGGCGAAGTTACCAGTTCTAAACGTCGCTCATGTATGCGTAGATATGAATGTGAAAGAAACGAGAGAAATGTTAGGCTCGTGCCAAATGAAAAAATCCGTGATTTCCTCATTCTCTAGGTGATAGGCGTGAGAGTTATAAAAATATTATAATTTTGGTTATTTGTCTATTTATAATAACTAACAAGTTTGTTCAGTACGTAAGTTACGTTTGGGTACAGGCCTATAAATATAATAAATATTGTAATACCCATAAAGGTTTGTTAATTTGTGAGATATAACATATAATAAATTAACTCCGAATGTATAGATCATTTAACTTGCAATAAATATTTTGAATTTGAATTTTATGTATGTATTTAATATGTGTTCACGAATATACACGATATTCACTTTATTAAGCACGGATAAACTTTCAGAATATTTAGTATTTATGTATATTTAATTCAGCATACTGCGCACAATATCCTTTCCTAGAAAAGGATAGATAACAAGGTCGACTCAGTCATTATACACTGCTAAGTATAAAAGGCTTTATTTCGTAACACCTAGTTAGGTTTCACAGACCCGCATATCCTGTTTTCCATTATGAAAACTGTCTGTAAATGTAAAACTACATGCATACACTAACTTATAATTTAAATTACACTATGATCTAACAAACAAACGTGGTAACCGATTTCGATTCTCACCGTCACCAACGATATCTCTGTTGTGTTTACGTTCGTCGGTAAAGGGAAAAATCTTGTCCTTGTTGTTGATGTCTTCCAACACGCATTGGGCAGCACAGTGTACACATCTTTACCTAAAAACCCACTTCGAAGTGAGACGAGGCCCGCAACCAGCAGTGAGACAAAAATAAGGGCAGTAACTTTACTTCTTACATTACCCTAATATAACTTCAACAAGTCTAAATAAGTACCGTTAGTTAGGTAACTCATTTCCTAGAATTTTACTAAATCTATTCGGTATAAAGTTTTAATAAAACGTCATGGTGACTATTATAAGCAGGAGAAAATCAGGTTTTTTTTTCACGTTCAATTGTAGTATATAAGTAT